CCGAACGCACCATAAACGTAATTGGACTTTTATAGGTATAGCGTAAGACTATAAACAGTACTGGGATCCCAGGAGGTGGACTGAAGCTTGGGCCCCAGGGACGAAAACCGTAAAAAAAAAAAAATAATAAAAAAAAAATAACACTGAATCCGTCTCTGAATCGCATGAGATATTTCGATAGCTAGCTTGGTTGACAAATATATGTAGATATAGATAGATACAAACGCACACGAAAATATATGAATATATTCTTATTACATACAAACACATATGCACTAATAAATAATTAAATCATAAAAAGGAAGACTGGTGGCATTCATGTCTGTTGACATTAATTAATGGTGTACTGCTACGCTTGACCTACATACTCTACAGAAAACGCATGGCATGAGTACTATGCAGTATTGCAAAACATTCAGAGGTTGCTTTGTATATCTTTTGTTAAAGTATGGATAGAAATCGCCTAAAATCGCACTCTGCTGTCGAAAGGCCAGGAGGAGTGTCGTGGCATGAATAATTGCTGATATGAAAAATATTACGTTCAGTATAAGATATCAATGTAATGTTTTTATTTGTTGCGAGCGTTGTAAAGGATATCAATACATCAATTCTTACCTGATGGTTATATTGCTTTTTGCAGAACTTTCGTGCTTCCTGGATAAAGTCATCGTCCATGTAAATGTTCATAATGTTCATAGCACATTCGCTGTAGTGCTGATATTAAATGAATTAATTGCATTATGGATTCACGGGGTTTCAGTCTATTCAGTCTTGGTGGATTTATAGTGAATGTCAATGAACCTTCAGGTTAGCTAGCGATCACGCTCCTAAATGACTATGAAATAATTATGCAAACATCATAAACAAGCTTCAAAGTTTTGTTTAATGTTTCGTCTCCGCAACGAACGAAACAGCGAAGCGAACACACGAAGCCCAAAAGGCGTCGAATGGATCAGCCAGCGAGCGAGGGACGAAGAGCGCGAGCGGACCCTTCCTCCGACACAGCGAGACCACAACTAAACCACCTTTGGCATGCTAGCTCCCTCGGGTGTCATGAACTATGCATGGTGCCAGGAAGACCCCCAAGGAAGACCCCCTCCCTCCCCCCTCCCTTCCCCCTGCCTTTCCCTCCTATCTCCCCCCCTACCCCCCCGCCCCCTTCGCTCAACCCCACTACTCATCGACCGCCAGACACTCAACCAGTAAACTCGCACCTACACGCACTGAAGGGGAGGAAGAGGGAGGGGCGCGCACGGAAGCAGGAGTACCTGGGAAGGAGGAGAAAGTGGAAGGATTGAGACAAAAAAAAAGACGAAGATTAAGAGAGCGAAAAGAGGAGACTATAGAGGAAAATGACGATGATGAGTGTGGAAAGGGTAAAGGGGAAGATTATAAGAGTGAAAAAGAGGAGATTGAAGAGGAAAAGGATGAGTGTGGTTCGAGTGCAGGGAAGGGAATTACAAATAATCAATTTGGCAATATGAAAAGGAACATGAACTCCGTTAATTCCTTTATGTACTGTGTGTGTGTGTGTGTGTGTGTGTGTGTGTGTGTGTGTGTGTGTGTGTGTGTGTGTGTGTGTGTGTGTGTGTGTGTGTGTGTGTGTGTGCGCTGCTAGAGCTTATGAATGGAAAGGGGGACGCCACCATCAATTGTGCATTGACGCTTTGACAGTTTCGCGTAAATGGAAAATGGGTGTTGACGTAGAATGACTGAAGCACTACCCCTGTCAGGAATTATTGGGGTGGGGGAAGCTAGATATTTGAGAATGAATTAAAGTTATCACTCACAGTTTAGACGTATGATTAGATGTCTAAGAGTCCTATTATTTTACGAACCACGGCAATCCACACTATGTTGTTTTGTAGTCATTACCAAGCTTCATCGCGATTGTAACTGAGCTTGACTTAAGAAAGCTGTTAGTGGACTCTGGCTCCCGAGGACGGCATGTGACGCTCGACAAGTTTTGAGGCGAAAGTATTGTCGAAACGTATCTATTCTTTATCAGAATTCCGAGCATTTTGGCACGATCAGATACACGTGATGTCAGATACACGTGCTGTCATCTGCCAAAGGGAAGAGTAGAAAGTGAGGAACATGGTGATAAAAAAAACAGTGCAGACATTCATGGCATTTATTTGTCTTTTTTATTCAGTTGAAAATACTAGAGATAAAAAAAAATACATATATGGGAAGGGCATTCGAAAATCCTTTCGTCAAGAAGCTGATCATTCAAATCCAAAAGCACACACACACACACACACACACACACACACACACACACACACACACACACACACACACACACACACACACACACACACACACACACACACACACACACACACACACACACACACACACACACACACACACACACACATACACACACACACACACCTCTACCAGATACTCCCCTATCAAGCAACCTCACCAAACTCATACCGATACCATTTTTTTTTCTTTCTCCTCTGCTGCTTCCCTTCTTAACTCCCCCATCCAGCCCCACACCCTTGCCAAGCTCTGACACACCCAGCCCCACCCCCTCCACCTCCGAAAGCGCTGCTGACTTCATCCATTAGCATTTCACTAACATCACCCGTTCCCACCACAGCAATCAAGTGAGTTAGCAGCAAGCCTACCCACCCATCTCGCCCCCTCAATTGCAAGCGATGGCCCAGATGACATCCCGTCAAGAATAATGCGAGATAAAAACCGTCTTAATTATGAAAAATATTTCTCTGGGATTTTATTAGCACTCGCAGGCAAATCTAGTTTAAGTAACATTTTACAGGATTTCCAGTCATGTGGCGGAATGGGTTTCATCGACCAAAATGCAGATGAACATCAAGAATTGAGAGAAACCTCTGATAGGGATTCGAACCCCCACCACCATTGCAAGGAACTTGCAAGACGGCCACTCTAACCACTGACACACGACCCGCTAAAAGAAATGTGCAACTAGGACCTATATAGCATCCATAAGCATTACCTACCTACTCATGCATGAGTAAGGATAGCGAAGTTTTACACACACTCAACGTGGGCACTCGGTATATATAGAAACAGCAGTTCAAATCCCAAATCAGTTGCACACTCCTTTTAGTGGGTCGTGTATCAGGGGTTAGAGTGACCGTCTTGCAAGTTCCTTGCAATGGCGGTGGGGGTTTTGAATCGCTATTGGAGAGGTTATATATTCATGATACCAATGCATTCATATCAGTGCAATATGGCATTATTCCATCTTTCAGTGAATACGCCTCAGGATTTCTCTCCCTCCCCTTCTCATCGCTCTCAGTCTCTAGGAGGAAGTGAGGAGGGAAACTGAATCCCAGAGTGGCCAAGGACGAGATCCTGCAAGGTCCTAACACGCGCCATGCCTCTTATATGGGCGGGTCTGAGCGCGTGCACGCTCGGTGGTGGGCTTTGTGGGCGCAAGACGTGTGTGACGGGTTGGTGGGTGTAAGTGTATGTGTATGTAAAGTGCTTGTATGTGAAATGTATGTGTGCTGTTGTGTGTCTGTTGAATCGTACGTGCATGCTCGTGTGTGTGCTGCTTCCATTCTTTTTTACCCATTTTTCCTCCTCCCTTTGCCTTTCCCCCTATCCCATCCACCCCCCCCCCTCTCATTTACCCTCTCCCCCTCCATTATCCTTCTCCCATCCCCCCCATGTGCCTCTCCTCCCTCCTCCCTTCCTCCCCACTTCACTTACCTCCCCTCTCCTTATCTTTCTCCATTATTCCCTTTTACCTATCTCCCCCTCTATCTCGCCCCTCCTTCCTCTTCCCTTCCCCTACCCCTCTTCCTTACCTCCCCTGACCTCTCTCCCATACCCCCCTTCCGTTATTAATGTCAACTACGGATATTTACTAGATCTGATATAAAATTATAAGATTCTAAATTTATTTCAGCCAGCTATATAGATACACAGATAGATAGTTTGACTGAGTGACTGAACAGATAGAGTGATAAATAGATATACTGTATATAGATTGGACAGACTGATTGAAAATTGAATGCATGGATGATAGATAGATAAATCAATCTAGATAGATAAGCAGGTAGATAAATATATTGATACAGTATAGACTCAAATGAATAAAGTACCATAGGCAGTCCCATATATCAATAAAGGGTTAGGTCACTAACCAAAATTTACGTTCGTGTAAATAAAAAATATAAACATGAAGAAATTTAATCTGCATATATGACGTGCATATACTTAATTTTAACTTAAATTGCATAAAGTCACTGCATATACCTGCATTTTACTATAAAAGCTGAGCTTAAGGCAATAACGACTTTTCAAAATGATAAGATTCATTATTTTATGAGTATGTCATCTTTGATATGGCAACCCCATCTGAATTTGGTAGGGGAAGCTTAGCAAATTTTAGGTACCTCTCTTGGGGGGAGGAGAAATGGGGCTATGCAAAACTATTTCGGGTCAGAACAAGCAACAACTTGCAAGGCCACCTCCACCTCCCACAGCAACATGTCCTCTAGAAGGGGGAAGTCTGCTGCAAAGTATGAAATGTTTCTAAGACTTTGGTCCACTCTTGACAATTCAGTGATATCCTTTCTGAAAAACAATAACATTACTGCAAATTTACTTTTTATTTTATTGCAGCAATTCTTCCAAGTGAAAAATGGAGATCAAATTTGCCACCAGAAGGTAAAGTAAAAAGGACAAAGAAGTGTATATGAATTTCACGTGATATGTTGTCATTAGAATGATAGAATAATAGATGTTATAATAATGTTCCAAGCTTTTGAATCTCCAAAGTTTACAATATTCTGCCTTATTTATAATGTCAGTATTTTGTATGTTCTATGGTATTAATTAATACTTTCCCATAACTTTAAACATTTTTCCTCCTTCAACTGCAAATTGCATGAAACCTCAGCATTTTTATATACAGCTGCAATGACAATAATATCAATAATTTTACCTATATTAAAAACACACAATTGAAAAATGGAAAATGAAAATTGATAAAATTTTCTAAATATATTTCAAACAAACAAAAGATAATAGTGACTAGTCTACTGCATTGATTTATTTTTTCATTAAAGACTACTCCAGGTAGTTTGTTCAATACATACCAGTTTACTAACTATCAAGGCTTTTGTGAAAATACTGCAAAACTATCCTTTCTCTTAATATACAAGATTACAATTAAGAAATATGTAAACATTCCTATAATTGATGGGTAAACCTTTAATAGCTTGTAAAAGATACTGACAATACCTTTAATAAAACATGTACTGATTTGGTATTGGCCTTTACATTCAAAAACCACTTGATACGTATATTTTTTATCCTTACATGGAGTACACCATGCAATTCCAAATCATATCATATATTCCTAAGACAATTTACAGAAATATGATACAACAAAAGTAATAAATAATTACACAAATTTTTGGAAAATCATATAAAGACCATAAAACGTACCTTTACTATGCAAAAGCATTATTAATCTATCTGGTAAGATAGATTGCTTGTAAGTGTTTGCAAATTGTAATAAAATTTATTTTAAAACATAGTTGCCATTTATACAAAATTTCATAACACACTAATACCATATCTAGACTATATGATGTTATACATGTCTGGATGTATAAGGCATGCTGTTCAATGTGTAAAAAGTGCTTTAGGCTGCATTATTGCCCTAGTACTACATATGTAGAAATACAGGTGATAACAAAGAACTTTCCAACACTGGAAGAAGTGTTTACGTCTCTTTCTTTGTGAAGTTATTGAATCTCTTAATGTTTTTTTCTACATTTGTAACAGACATAGTCCTACATGCTGTATTGTGTCAAGCAAGTTTTCAAATCAATTAGAGTTTATGATACTAAAAATCATGTAAAAATAACAGGTGATAACATTTCTAAAAATCCCACTGCTAAAATTAATATTACATTTTAACTTAACTAAATAAATGCAAACTACCTCTATTAGTAAGCGTAGATAAACAAGGCTTTAGAAATACAGCATTTACTCTCCCTTGAAAATAATTTGAATTCAGTGCGGGCATTTCTTCCCTTTGCTTAATATGCAAACATGTAAAGAAATTACAAATCACCACTTTTAAGGCTTATTGGAGTATTAATTAAAAAGTACTATTACTCTAATATCAAGTAATACTAAAGAAAAATGTTAGTAGTAAAAGCAAAAAAATACAGAGAAATTGCCCAGTTACAAACTCAGCTACATCTTACAATTATTTGCTGTATTTATCATTAATCAAACAATCTCTTCTTATTCCCCTAACTTGCTCTGCAGCTCTGGTTACAATAAAATTATTAGTGTATGCATTTCACTATCAAAATTCCTATGAAGGTCCAAATATAAGATAAGGACTTTATAAGGAAAATACATCATTATGCATCCAAACATTACACTAACCTTATTTTACACAACAAACTAAATAAAATATTTTGTATAATATATAAACATGTAAGTGAACAGTAATAACAAACAGTAACATAAGCAGTCTTTATCAATCTTCTTGTATGAATGATTGCTATCAAATTACAGAAATAAAAATGAAAGATAATATTTGGTGATATGTTAGTACACAGGTGTAATTAGCACCAAATTACCAATGATCACTACAATATGCACATAACATTTCATTGACTGTTGCCTGAGATATGTTCCGAGATTTGAATAACAATTACTTGGAAGTAATTTCCAAAATATGCTATTGTAACCCTATCAACATAAACCTCTAATGATATAAACTTTGAGGTATTCTCTATTACCGAAATTGAATTAACATGTATATTTTAATGTTATCTCTAAAATCTGACACAGTACAGCACAAATGTTAAGATTTTTTTTTAATTTAAATTAGAATTTAATTAGAATTTAAATTAATTATTTAAATATTAAACAATTCCAGTCTTTTTTTCATAATTCTTATGATGATCAAATTTAAAAAGTAATAATTTAAAAGTTTACACAAGAAATCCCATGCTGCCAGGTGGCATGTATGTACATACTATGGCTGTTGTGGACCAAGTAACAGTGGCATCCCATCATGACCATTCCTGCACCATTGGTTCATCGGAAAGAGCTCATTTTTCTCTGACAGTAGTAGCATCATTTCTATGAAAAAAAATTTAGGCAATAGCACATACAGTTAAGGTAAACCTTTAATTCCTTTTTTCTTTTTTCTAATGATATCAAAATATAAGCATTTAGGTGCCTAATGTTGGATGCAAGCTACTGAACTAGCTGGGCACAAACAGAGGAAACTGTCGATCCGTGCAAACAACCCCATTTTAATGGCCACAAGCCAAATTTTTAACAAAGTGTTAATGTGTTAACCTATACAAATATATAAATGAGGCTTCTAGAGGCTTGCAGTAGGAGCTGTCAACACATCATGCATGTCTTGGAGAGATGTCGAAAGAGCTCTACAGAAATCTTCACCTCTTGTTTCTTTTGATGTGAGGTATGTGCTTACGAAGAAGTTTAGCCTGAATGGGAGAAAAATCAAAATAAATAATTTTGTATCATGTTCATATACAGACTATTCTAACAATAACTAGACTATGGGATTCCTGACAAGTGATACTCTTTATGAAATAAATAATCAAAATATACATATAACAGTGGCCACTGAAATTAAATAATTATATCCAGTATATCTAATGCACTTATGAATATTCTGTGAGAAAAAATATGATAATTTTAAGTGTCATGAAAAAAATAACAGCAAATTTTGAATTCAACTATAACTTCAGATAGTAAATAAAGCTTGTTAACACAGAAGAAATTACTTACTTGTCAGGGAGCATGTTATAGAAGCAACCATAGCCATCCTGGACCATGGCTGCTACTCCTCCTACAAGTGGAGTATAACCAGTTGTACTCGAAGACAGTACAAAGTTGCCTCCACCACCACTGAAAAAAAAAAAAATCATATAATTACAAAACACATTTTTTTTTAAATATCACATAATCTGTCTAATTCTAAGTTCTCCAATTCACTATCATTACAAAAATAATTGTCTCACCTCTTCACATAAGCCGGATCTAAGAAGATCTCAGGCGTGTCCATTCCAGCTTCCAGGGCAATGATGTAAAGACCAAAGAGATGACGATCAATGCCTTCATTTTTCTGGCAATGATTCATCAATTCATTGTGCATCTTCACGGCACTGAAGAGCTTGGTGCGTTTTTCACTTGTCTGGATGAAGGTGAGAAAAAGTAATTGGCTACTTGTCTCTGATTACTCACATAAGCATGGTTAACAAGTATCTCACCTATTTTGTGTATTATCAGTACATCAATCGTGCCTAAGACTAAGCCTGCCTCTAGGAACATAATTTTTCCTCATATAAATTTATGTGATAAAGCCTCAGTTGAAGACTTTCCTTAAGGGTTTTCTCACCCTTTATTATAGTTATATTTCCGGCATTTGTAAGGCCCCCCAAAAAGAATAATTGCCTAATTACATTTTTACAATTTTAAGAAAATTGGGAAAATCTACCAGAATTATTAGTTCAATAGAAATTTACAGACAACCTACTTCTATTGGATTAACCAGCTACCATTATCTCTTTGTACAAGCTGTAGATTTCTAATAAAATTGTCTATATATCAGTGAACAGCAAAACTCTATCTTGTTGAATGGTTGCCAAAACTATTTGGCAACATTTAATGTTTTGGTACAGTAGGTTCTTACTACCATATCATTAACCATGCAATAACCAAACAGAATACATACAAATCTACAAAACTGAAACAGGAAATGTTCTGTTTTTCAAATATAATGAAGGAAGAACTCGGCTCTCACACAGCTCCACTACAATCACTATTCAAAATTTGCAGAAGTTTATCTGCTTTTTCTGAATTAAAAAACATACCGAAGCTTTAGGATTAAGCATGGAGCGGGCAAATTCCACAGCCTCCACTGTGCATGACCGCATGGTTTCTGTTCTTCCATTATAAAACTGTCTAGTAGTTGCAGTTTCATAGGTTGGTGCTGGTCTGGAAAATGGATCATCATCAGAGCCTTCTCAATTACTTTTTTTTCTCCAATATTACAAAAAGAAAAAAAAAAGACAAAGAAAAAATTAAAAAAAACTACAAAGTTGTAAATATATCATCAAGTTTTATCCAAGATTTTCCTACGATAAACCCTACATACTTTCCATGGAGACGAAAATAAGCCAACTGCATGCTCATCTGTACAAAGGCATCTGGATGGAGTTTGTTATTTTTGATGAAGTCCTTTCCATACGTAGAAAATGTATAATATCTCACATCTATGTTCTTGGTCTGGAATTAAGAAAGTTAAACTATGATAAATATCTGGAGCAACTAGAAAAGGAAGGAAAGAAGAAAAAAAGCAAAAGTGCTTTGAAAGAGTAACAAGCTAGTACAACTATCATGACAATTTTTAAACACGAACAATAACAAAAACCTACTGAAATAAATATTACATGGAACAGGAATAGGAAGATGAAGCAGATGACCAAGAAAAAGAACGTAGAAAAAAAACATACATACCAAGGCCAAACTGGTTTCCTTAGCAGCAGGGATGGCAGCCATGATTTTGCTGTCAAGGTCAAAGTTCACAAGGGACGGCATAGGGAATTCTCGCACAGTAGGGTTGCCTCTCCAGGTTCCCCCCATGTCTTCCAACAACAAGTGCTGGTAATGGGCCATGACCACTGTTACCATAGCATCATAAGGCGTGTGCTGAATGAGAAGTAATATTTCATTAATTGAAAATTGAATAACAACCTCCTCATAAAAGTCTTGATAGCATCAATGATGATAATAAAAGTATCCACAATGGAAAAAATAGTTTTATAAATCACATTTACACAACAAACAGCAGAAATATTTATGAGCTTGGATCTTCCATGGATACTATATGAGATTTATGAATATTAAAAAGTAATCCTCTTACATCATTGTTTGTAGCACCAAAGCCATTTCTTGTCATGATGGCCGTCAGACTCTTGTCTGCCCAGCGATTTGTTGTGTCTCCGCACAGTGCCTCCCAGCATAACTGTTGAATTTTCAATTAATATCTAATACTGATTCATCAGATTTTAATAGTAACAAATGATATTCTACTTTATATTTCCATAACAGGAAATGTTCTGTTTTTCAAATATCATGAAGGAAGAACCTATTTTACTCATCAGCATTTTTACTTTCCCTGAAATGATTTCAATTCCTGAAAGAAAAAGTCCGTAAGTCCCAATAATCCCTTCTTTAGCTATGCTAAAATCAATTCCATTCTTTTCCTAGTAATTTGTATTAAAGGATAATCTCACATGACCTACAACGTTCATATTAGAATAATGGCAAATATCATATTCAAGAGGTAAAGTAAAACATGATTAAAAAAACAACCCACCTCCTCAAAGTTTGCTGGAGAAGTGTCATCCATCACAAACACAAACAATGCAGATTCTATATGGTCTAAATTCTGGGAGTTGTTGAGACTTAGGGATTTCAGCCAATCCCGATTCTGTAAAAAAAATTATATGTATATATATTACATACAGAAATACACAAATACATACACACGTGTATATACATATATCTATATTAATCTATCTATCTATTTCTCTCTCTCTCTCTCTCTCTCTCTCTCTCTCTCTCTCTCTCTCTCTCTCTCTCTCTCTCTCTCTCTCTCTCTCCTCTCTCTCTCTCTCTCTCTCTCTCTCTCTCTCTCTCTCACACTCACACTCACACACACACACTCACTCACTCACACACTCACTCACACACTCACACACTCACTCACACACTCACACACACTCACTCACACACTCACACTCACTCACTCACTCACACTCACTCACTCACTCACTCACTCCTCACTCACTCACTCACACTCACTCACTCACTCACTCACTCACCACTCACACTCACTCACTCACTCACTCACTCACTCACTCACTCACTCACTCACTCACTCACTCACTCACTCACTCACTCACTCACTCACTCACTCACTCACTCACCCACTCACTCACTCAGCACTCACTCACTCACTCACTCACTCACTCACTCACTCACTCACTCACACTCACTCACTCACTCACTCACTCACTCACTCACTCACTCACTCACTCACTCACTCACACTCACTCACTCACTCACTCACCACTCACTCACCCACACCCACTCACCACCCTCACCCACTCACTCACCACTCACTCACCACTCACTCACTCTCACTCACTCACTCACACTCACTCTCACTCACTCACTCTCACTCACTCACTCACTCACTCACTCACTCACTCACTCACTCACTCACTCACTCACTCACTCACTCACTCACCACCACTCACCCACCCTACCACCCACTCACTCACACTCACTCACTCACTCACCTACCCACTCACCCACTCACTCACCCACTCACTCACTCACCCACTCACTCACCCACTCACTGCAATAAAAACAAAATGGTGAGAACTTTACTTTTGCCCAGTTTTCTCTAGTGTCACAGGTGAGGACAGGAAGACCAGCCCCAGGACCCATGGCATCGCTCCTTTCACGGATGTGCCTGAATTGTTGCTCTAGCTCTGGGGGATTCATGGCCTTCCCTTAAGTTTAGACAAAGAAAAAAATAAATAGCATCAAAATCATATAATTATGAAATAGGTTTGTAGGATAAATCTTTCTGCAGTCATATCTGTTAACCACATGCCATCGCATACATGCCATGCCCACTGTGTTTAATTTAGATGGCTGCATCAGGGATGGCATGTGCATACATGCCATGCCCACTGTGTTTAATTTAGTAATTGTTTTTACACATAGATGGCTCCACAAGTACTAAGGCACCAATGAACCAATGATGACAACTATCTGTCTCACCTGTTTATCCTTTTCCTTGATTTTCGATGATATTGTTTGGCATTTGATATTGGTGTTAGTAATGTCAATAACACTAAAGCAATTTTGATGTTTATAATAAAAATAGCAGTATCAAAACTAATAGCATTAGTAATAAAAGTGTTTTTTCACGCAAACTCAAGTAAAGGTGAAATCAGGTGAGGTCACAAAGTCTACTAATTGGCTAAGCACTGGCAGAGCCATCTGTGTGCAGTGACATTTAACAAAACAATATCAAAGGGAACACAACATTTTTCTGGGGTCACTGGATTAATTTACATATCTATTTTACTAAATTAAATATATTAATCAAAGCTAAGAGCCTTTTAGCTCACTAACTGCCAATGTTGCACCAATACACTGAGAAAACTAACCTAGTCCATTTCACAAACAAAAGACAGTCACACTATGACAGAAACACCAGTCATACCTTCAGAATCCCAAGGATTCACGGTCCAGATGTGTCCATGACAAAGAACAATCAGATGATCTGGGCATTCGCCTTCATCCTCTACAATTTCAAAATTAAAAGATTATATTATTAAGCAAAGGGATATCATTGGAATAATAAAAAAGTATGGATAAAGCATTGTATACTACATGTAGACAATTTTATATTTTTACTCAACTTAAGTTAACAATACAGAATACTCTGAAATATCATCTAAGGTGTAATTAGCTAGGACAAAACTCAAGGTGTTTTTTATCTCAACTCACTTGTCTTCCATCTGGTATACAAACTATCTGCTCCTTGGCCAGGTATTCTTGAACAATTGAACAGTCTCCTAAACTGTTCCATACTAAATCTTGTTCCCTGAAAGTTCAAATTTCTTCCTAATGAACAGTCATACTGGGTTCCAATCCATTTATCCACACAACAGAAAAAAATCAAGAATGGAAGAAAAAACAAGTAAAGAGAAAGAGAAAAAGAAAAGAAAAAAAAAATCACATAGATGAAAGAAATAGGACTCAAAATGCACTGCACATATATGTATCAAAGTATGTGAATACATACAATTGAATATAAATCATGTTCACTATTAAAAACCTTACAAAGAATATCTTTGCATCTGCAGATGAAAAGAAAATCAAACTTACATCTTTTGCTTTCTGAGGCATCAAGCGTTCTTCTCTTAGAAGTACGAAGAAATCAAGCATTGCCCAGATATACAATGCTGCATACTGTTAAAAGAAATACATAAAATAAATACATAATGAATCATCAAGACAAAATAGAAACTAGTCAACCACAAACCCTAGCAACCCATAAATACATCATCATTATCATCAACATGCATTGTAATCAGTATCATTATTCTAAGCAATCTTAAACACAATACATATTATCACTATCATTAGCCCCTTGGATCCGGATGACATGACCATCGCATCATGGAAAAATTTGCCTTATGGACAAGTGACATGAATATGCCATAATGAAAAAAAAATGCAGGAGGCTGTGGTGACAAGATTACACCATCATGAGAATTTTGGCTGAAGGTAGGGATGACAGGAATGGCATTATTTGCATCGATAAAGAGTGGAATGTATCATCCGTAAGTGGGTGAGTGAGTGAGTGAGTGAGTGAGTGAGTGAGTGAGTGAGTGAGTGTGAGTGAGTGAGTGAGTGAGTGAGTGAGTGTGAGTGAGTGAGTGAGTGTGTGTGAGTGTGTGTGAGTGTGTGTGTGTGTGTGTGTGTGTGTGTGTGTGTGTGTGTGTGTGTGTGTGTGTGTGTGTGTGTGTGTGTGTGAGTGAGTGAGTGAGTGAGTGAGTGAGTGAGTGAGTGAGTGAGTGAGTGAGTGAGTGAGTGGGTGAGTGAGTGTGAGTGGGTGAGTGAGTGAGTGTGTGAGTGAGTGAGTGAGTGAGTGAGTGAGTGAGTGAGTGTGTGTGTGTGTGTGTGTGTGTGTGTGTGTGTGTGTGTGTGTGTGTGTGTGTGTGTGTGTGTGTGTGTGTGTGTGTTGTGTGTGTGTGTGTGTGTGTGTGTGTGTGTGTGTGTGTGTGTGTGTGTGTGTGTGTGTGTGTGTGTGTGTGGTGTGTGTGTGTGTGTGTGTGTGTGTGTGTGTCTGTGTGTGTGTGTCTGTGTGTGTGTGTCTGTGTGTGTGTGTCTGTGTGTGTGTGTCTGTGTGTGTGTGTGTGTGTCTGTGTTGTGTGTGTGTGTGTGTGTGTGTGTGTGTGTGTGTGTGTGTGTGTGTGTGTGTGTGTGTGTGTGTGTGTGTGTGTGTGTGGTGAGTGTGAGTGAGTGAGTGAGTGAGTGAGTGAGTGTGAGTGAGTGAGTGAGTGAGTGAGTGTGAGTGAGTGTGAGTGTGTGTGTGTGTGTGTGTGGTGTGTGTGTGGTGTGTGTGTGTGTGTGTGTGTGTGTGTGTGTGTGTGTGTGGGTGTGAGTGAGTGAGTGAGTGAGTGGTGAGTGTGTGTGTGTGTGTGTGTGTGTGGTGTGTGTGTGTGTGTGTGTGTGTGTGTGTGTGTGTGTGTGTGTGTGTGTGTGTGTGTGTGATAAATTGTAATCATGTGTGAGTGAGTGGACACATGAAATACAATAAGAATTATAAAAAGATTACTATTATCATTATCATCATTACCTTCGGTATCATCATCATCATCATAATTATTTTCATTACTATCATTATTATTGTCACTACTATTCGTAGCAATTATCATCATCATCAATATCATCATTTTGTTTATTATCATTACAATTACTATTACCATTATCATTATTATCATAATGATAATCATTGTTCTTACTATTACTATTAATATTACAATCATCATAATTATTTTCATCATTATGACTACCATTATAATTATTATCATAATTATCATCATTATTACTATCATTAATATTATCATTATCACTATCATTATTATCATTATCATTATTATCATTATCATTATTATCATTATCATTATTATTATCATCATGATTACTATCCCTATTATCTTTATGTATTATCAAAAGAAAAAAACTTACTCTAAAAACCTCTTCGAACGATGGCTGCCACAAAGTTAAGTTTAGAGGCATGGGTCCAGTGGTGTTCATGGTGGGCAGGATTGGGTCTCGTACTGTCAGGTAGGCATAGTGCAACCACCAGTCCTCAAGCTGCCGTGATTG